AGACTTGGGAAGAAATTTTCTCACTCAGTGTATTCCTTCTGCTGACTTCTCCCCTACACCTCCTCCAATTCCTCATCAAATAACTCGTCATCATAAGCTTAATATCTTTACTTTGATGGCACTTCCTGATCTGTCTTTGCTGCACTATCATCTTCAATGTTTATCACAAACATTGATACCATCCTTTTTTTAATATATATACACATGCACATATATATATATAAATTTCAAATGAAAGTCTTTCTGAATGCTGTTTACAGAAGGAATGCTTTGGGGATTTCTGTCTCATTATCTTCCTCCAAGTTTTTACTTTAAGTATTCCTTTGCTATTAAGTTTTCAAAAAAACCCAACAATAAAACCCTTGATGTCTTGACATACCAAAGGGCTGACTAATATTTCCTTGTTATTGTTTTCTTTTTGCCTGAATCCGTCTGTCACTTGTTTACATATTTAAATTGTGAGTTATTTGGGGTAGATAACTTCAGCTTACAATTATACTCAGAAATAAGCCAGAAGAATCCTAGTACATGATAAGGAAGTGTCAGAGGGGAGAAAGAACTTCTAGTAACAGTTATTGTTTATAATTCAGTCCAATTTTTAGTGTGCAGATAAGTGCAGAAAAGCCAAGTCCTGTAGAATGTTAAACTCGGTGTTCTAATAAAACAAATGCTGGCTGTGTCTGTAAATTGGGTGCAGCCTGCCTTGCTCTCTAAATTAACCTCAAAAAATATTACCCATCGAAAGGCCAGTATCATTATTCCAAAAACAATGAGTTTCTTGGGAGAAGCTTCTATGTATACCTATTAGATTACTTTTATTTTTACTATAATACGCACTTATGAGCTAAAGCATATTCAGAATAAAAATGTGTTATATTCTGGAATAGACAAATCTTCTTGCTGAATTACTCTTGGAAAACAGACTCAGCTTCCTTATAGGCGTGCCAGATGCCTAACGAAAGGTTAAAAGCTACACATGCACACGCATGTGGACAAGTACTGTATTTTATGTATGTTTTTGTGCGAACAGTTTTTGTTTGCGTGCCCTGGATGTGCATGTGCAGGATTTCAGGCACTGTTGTATCACTGCTTTCTTGGAATAAGGCCCTGTAGGCTATGTGACTTGGGGAGGGAAGCATATATGCTCATTTCCCAAAGCTATAGATATTGATGAAGTTGTCTTTAGATGGAAGGGAAATGTGAGATTTGTTTAATATGGTGAATCAAGCTGTTGCCAAAAGAGAATGAATTTGGTTGCAACTGTTCAAGTATGTGCCCATTCATGTTCTAGTCGGTATCTAGAAATGATCATATCAAACACATTATGATTAAATTGCATGGAAGTCATCAAAACTACAAGTTAGCCACTTAATTATTTACAGATCCCTTTTTATTATAGCTCTGTGACATGGGTAGATGATATAGTTGTATACTTGCACCCTTCTCTCTGTCTCTCTCTCCCCCTCCCTATCTCTCCAGCAGCTGTGTTGTGTAAGCTACTTGTTTTCGTGGAATCTGACACATGCTGTTGTGGCTTGAGCTGAGGTTCATTGAAAACCTCAAGCTGTTAAAACCATCCACGCAACTGAAAGGAGTGAAACTGCCCTCTCCCGCCCTCTTGCCTATCCTGGCAGAAATGCTTAGTTGCGCTGCGCACTGGCTAGGAAAAACTGATTAGTGTTGAAGTTCACAATTTTTTAAATCAGACTAATTTTACTTAGAATTATTCTGCATGCTCTGGATAGTAAATCTTCTAGAGGAGCTGCAGCTGTTTCTGCCATGATGAAGCAACTGAACATGATTTGTGTTTTAGGGTCAGTGGAACTTGAGGTTGCAGTGCAACAGAATTCCAGTGGAGTGGTTCCCTTTGAGTCCTGTAAATACTGGTACTGGTTAATTTATCAGTCTGGGACTTTCATCATCCAAATGCTAGCAAGACCATGATAGTGTGGCACTGTTTCAGCAGCTGCTGGGATTGGGTTTACATTTTCAGATTCCATCTCTCCCAAAGGAGTAGAAGTTAGCTTGTCCTGTTGTGCCTGCCAGCCAGGTTTCGATGAAATGTATGGAAGGTCTTTGGCTGCTGCCTGCTTCAAACCGTGATAAGTCCTGCCACTGCTACTTGATATTGATGGTTGGCAGTTGTTGCTAGATGGGAGATGGTGGTAGCACTGGTCTCGTCTTTTCCAAGGCATTTGTCTTCCCTCAGTTGTCCTGGGCAGAGCGAAAACTTACCTCTGCTTAAGACTATGATTAGACAAAAGAAGAGTCTTTCTGCTTGAACAGCTCTTGCCGTTCTCCTGCTGGGTAGAAGAAACTGAAGATTCCATAGAGGCATTCTAAGAGCTGAGTGATTCCTCACCATAATTTCTTCATTTTGCAACACACAACCTTACACAGTTTGGATGGCTTATTTCGATAAGTTAAATTTGCTACTGATAAAACCCATTTTGTTCGGCCCAGAGAGCATCGAGACCTCCCCAGGTTTATCAGATCTTAAGACAGCTGATTAGTAATGGAACTGTGCAAAATGCTGTTCCAGGTTTGATTTTTGGATGTGCCAAAGCTAGTGTTGTGTCTCAGCTCTTGCTGAGACCGTTTTCCTTTGGGGAGAGGGTCAGGGAGGTACTTCTGTAAAGTAGCAGTGGAATTTTGATGCAACAAAAACGTATGTGAGATTACTGCGGTGCTTACAGGGTTTGGTGTGCTGTGTGCACGTTGTTAGACCGCTCCATCTGCAGTCCTGCAATCATGCTCCAGCTGGCTCTCCAAAGCAGCCGGTGTTGCGTCCATTCTCGATGAGCTTGGCTGGTCCAGGTTGTCTGGAGAGGAGTTTATCATGGGCAGTGAGAAAAAGGCCTGACTGGCCAGGTAGTCCAGAATGGTAGGAACTACAGTACTTCTTCCGAAGTTTCATAATGTCCCTTTTCTATGTTTGCCTTGCCCTTCCTTCTTACCCCTTTTCCTAAAGGCGCTTTCCTGGCTTACGTGTTAGTGTGGCTCCTCTCCCTTTGGTACAGCAGCTAACCTCTTATTTTGTCTTGCTGATGTTTGTTAAACCTTAGACGACTCCTTGCCAGGGACTTACTGGCTAAAGACCAGCAAGCAGGATGTTACCTCTTTTCAGCTTCCTCATAAATGTTTTTTTTTTTCTTCTGGAATGGATAGATTCTAGTTTCTGTGCTTTATCAGTTGTTGTACTGTCTGTTTTTCTGCATGCTCCTCTTCCTCTCCCCCTTGTCTGCTGTATCCAGGTTTCCTGTCTAATTTTTGAATTGCATACTTTTTGGTGTGAAGACTATCATTGAGTCAAAGAAAAATCTGTGCTGGAAGAGGTCTCTGGAGGCGATCTAGTCCAACCTCCTGCTCAAAGCAGAGATAACACCGGAGTTAGATCAAGTTGCTCAGAACCTTGTCCAGAGGAGTTTTGAAATGATGTATGTTACTGCACAACTGCACTTTCTGCTTATCGGCTGAATGAAATCTGACAAAATTCTCAGGAAAGCTGTCATCGGCCTGGTTAGCTTCCGTTTTGTTGTTTCTTGCCGTTATACCAAGCTGTCATAGCTACTGCAGCTGCCTGGCTCCGTTTTATTCACCATTTGAAAGGTGGAGTGGTTTTTTAAATTTTAAGGTTTATTAGTGTAAGAGAAAACTTAGTATAAAGCTATTTTTTTATATATGTATCTCTAGATATCTCCCGTTTAACTGCTTGATAAGGTGAAGAAAATGTTTACCCCTTGCTTGCATAACTTGAATTTTCTGAGTACGTGGTTTGGCTCATTCTCAAGTTTGTTCCTCAGCAATTATTTCAGTCACTTAATAAAGAATGGCTGCATCTGGTATTCTAAATTATGTTTTGACTCACAGATGTTATAAAATCTATTAATAGAAAATTTGAGGTTAGCTTAGAGTGTGCATAATGAACTAGGATGTAGCTGTCTGTGATGTTGCTAGTGACCCGCAAGAATAATTTGTACTACGCGTTGAATAGCTTATTCAAAACCACTTAGAAACCCTGCCTTTGACTGCTTGCCTATCTTGATCAGAGATTTTATGATACTATAGTATGCTGGCAATTTGTATAGCAACCTCTCAGTGTTTTGGATTGCATCTTTTAGATGTACAGTACATCATCCTTTGCACGTAGCAAGTACTTATTGCTAACGTACTGTAAAATAACCCTAAAATCAGGTGCATTTGTTACAATTGCAAAAGAAATTTGTTTTCCAGCAATTTTTCTGTTAACTCCACTAAGAAACTTTTTACACATATAAACAGAGTAATACAGTTAAATGGAAGAATTTTGCATCCTTAGGCTACTACATAAATAAAACGTGTCAGAATTCTGGTAGCAGCATTAATCCAGAAAAACAACTCTCTGTACCTTACAGTGCATATTTAAGAACAGAAGTACAAAATGTGTCATATGCATAGCCAGGAAAATAGAGTCATGTTTGTAATATCTGCTAATAATCTCAGAAGCTTTCTTTGGAAACAAGGCATTAAAATAACAAAAAGGCTTTTTTGTAGTGAAGTTACTGTTACTTCACAGTCTGTCCAATAATCTTGTACTAAATCTTTGGAAAAAGAAAAAAGGCTCTTAAAATTTTAATCAGTATCATATCTTTGAGTAGCTTTTAACCTAGATATGTCATTCTTTGTAAAATATCAGTCTATTCAGACCATGATAAGCATAGAGGTTTGGGTTATCTCTTGAAGATACAGTTGGACCTCTTTGGCTGAAGTTTCAAAATATCACTAAAAAAAGCTTTCTTGGCCCATGAAACATGTTTCAGATATATTTATTTTAACAAGTATTATCCAAATGCTTGCTTAGACAAATATAACTGCTCTGGTGTGTATTAGTGTGTTCCTTGGTTAGGTCATGTAACTGAAGTTTCTTAACATGCTACATTAGAGTTGTATGTGCAAATGCCTGAAGGAGTTGCAATGGATTCTGTTACCTTGAATCTAATTTTTTATTTCTGTTATTTTAGGAAACACTCCTTTACATCTTGCTGTGATGTTGGGACATAAAGGTAGGTAAAACCATCGATTTTGTTAGCTCTTAAATTATTCTGAAGGTTTAGGGGCAAGAGGGAAAAAAAGATCTTTCAAATTTCCTGAACATGATCTTGTGTTTCAAGCTAGTTCAAAGTTGAGGTTTTCTGAAAAGAAGACACCATGCAGATTTAGAAAAGTTGGAGAAGAAATCAGAGCTGTTCTTTAGGCCAAAATCAAGGAGCTAGATAGTAAATGGCATAGGGTGGAAAGGAGTTGTAGCAGTTGGACTCCTTATGAGCCTAGAACAAGAACAGTGCGTGGACCGAGCTCCTCTTTTTTTGCAGAGTTGGGAGGAAATTGGGAAACTTGGAATATCGTAGAAGATTGAGAAACAGCTCTAAGCAGTGGAGGCAAGCATATGCATGCCTGCTTCCCCTTTGGTGTCCAAGCAGCTGAAGCAGAGGGATATACTCAGTATGTGTAGGCAGGGGACTTGATCCAGGCAGATCTCTATTTTAATGTGCATGAATCATGGTACAGAAGGGTTATTAATTTCTGTTTGTGTGATGATACCCTTTGTCAACACTTTTCTGGTTATTAGCGTCACTGTGTTTGTTGCTGATCTGCTCACTGGAGGTGTTGAATAACCCCATTTAGCTTTTTCCCAGTGAAGTGAGTCAGAATAACATCCTCTAGAATAAAATGACTCTCTGAGTGGAAATGTAATCGCTCACCTGCTTTTTGCATACTCCTTCACTCACTTGATTCAAATTTCTGACCCACTGCCTAGCTGTTTCTTCGTGTTTCAAGACAGCCCTATGCAGGGCACAGGACAGCCTACAGGACTGTGCAGCCCGTTGATTCACGATGGCTCTCATCATTCCAGATATCCTTTGAGGATTTCTTTACAGCAGGATTTCAAGGCATAGGAATTAAATTTCTAGTTCAAATAGAAAGTATAGAAGTAGACATGTTTCAAGACTGTGAAGAAATCTGGGGTATGGTTGTTCAGTCTCCGTGATAGTAAAATTCTTTTTCACTACTGAAACAAGAATGGCTTGGTTTCATTCAGCTGTGTGAGTCCTATGCCTGGTATGTGGTACTGCTCCATGACAGAGGAATTGTTAACTGAAACACCTGGCAGATTTGGAGAGGGGAATGCAGGCAATGCAGTAAGTTGTCTTTAAGATGTTTTGTAATACCTAGGAAGTGATCTAAGGTAATTGAGGGTTAGAGTGGGAAGTACTTTTGAAGGAAGAAGGGAGAGAGGTGACTTATGCAGAAGAAGCAGCAGTAGAGCTTGCTGGAATCTGCCAGTATTGGTGTAGCCTGTGATACTTTTTAAATAAAAAAAAAAAAATTAAAAGAAGATACACAAACTTTTTGAGACAGCAGTGAGGCAAATATGTTTTTAAAGTGCCTGCCTACTAGAAGTCACAGATACGATTTTTTTTTTTCAGCTTGCAAAAAATGGTGCTTTGTCAGAACTGCTGTTTTCCAGTGAGGGTCCTAGACTGTAGGGCTTACAACAACAGAAGGAAACAGAGGCAGAAGCCTTCCTGTAATTTCTCAGCCTTAAATAAAGCATTTTTCTCTGTAAGATAGATTTTAGTTTTGTAACTACTTTGTGTTTTCAAGCAATGATGATCAGCTATGTTTATGACTTCTGTTGTGTCTTATTGCAGCATTTGTTTCAAGCTTTAGTTTGTCACGGTCATTAGTTAATATTTACAAGTTTTGCACTGTTGGGCGTAGAAGGGGTTGTGTGTTTTTGGTTAAAAGAAGATTAGCTCTCATGAAGGGACACTTTCCATGTAACTACAACAGTATTATACCACATTAATAAAGACAAACAATTTTGATCAAAGATGCTTCTTTTAATAAAACTGGTAAAAATTGTTTACCAACTTTATTTCAGTATGGTTGAATATTTATTCTAAGCCTTTCTTAAATTTTGGTTCTTTTATTTTTCAGCTCCAGGATAAAAAGCAATCTATTCAGTGCTGACAGATTCCTTGAATATGAGTTATCCTCGTGTATAGTACAGCAAGGAGAGGAGGGGCATTTCTTCCCTTTACTCCTTTTCTCATTGGCTGCATGTTTTAGATTTCAGTTTGCAGTTCACCTCTTGGCTTCTTTCTGTGTAGTCAGTCATCCTGTGTGTAAAGCCCTAAATCCTTTAGGATGCTTGTGGTGAGCCTTTGTCTGGCTTGCCTAGAGCAGGGCTATTTGTGCATGACATCCAGCACAACACCTAGTTTTACTGTTTCGACTTTGAATCCTGCATAGTCGTTGATCCACCAAGAGCCTTAGGTCCTTTCCTGTCTTGTTAGTCTGTCTCACTGATATCAAAGGGCAGTTTTCTGTGTTTCTGGAATGATGCATATAGACTGTTCAGCTGTATATAGCAGCATTATAGCCAGTCTTTTCTGAAGTGTAGGGTGAATTTACATCCTGTTTGTTTAACTGAAAATGTATTCTGGTAAATGTAAGCTTATTGGCCTGTTCACTGTACAGTGTTATTGTGTTAGGCACTATATTTAAGCAGCCATAAAAATACTTCTCTGTGTTTGCTGACAGAGTAGTCAGGGCTTTTGTTTACTTACCACAAAAGATAGTATATTTACCAGTGAAGTATCTCTTCCTTTCCAAACACTGTGCTTGCCAGTGACTCACAATTGCTGCATCTGGAATGACTAGTATGGTTTCCTGTGACACCTGTAGTAGGAGAATAATCCGGGCGTTTCCTCTATCTGTCATGCCTGCCCATCCTATTCATAATGAGACATTTCTTCAGCCTACAGCTCCAGCTTGGTACTGTTCTATCATTTGCAGATGGGTCAGGTTTAATTTTAATGAGATGTGGTGAGGAAAGTTTCTGTACTTAGAAACTGAAGAACCGTTTCAAATGAGGACAGTTTATTCAAAACATGGAAACACTGAAAGCTTTCTTCTTTCCTTAATTTTAAGGACTATTCATCATTCCACTATCACCTTTTACCTGTCGACAGAGAAGGGAATGCAAGTTGAGCTATGACTCTGCTAGGAACTTGTGTGGCTTTGATGAGATGTTAACGTTGCTTTATCAGCACAGTGTGTGCATGCTGTGCATCAGGGGTAGCACTGATGCGTGCTCTTACTGATGCTGTTGATGAAAAATGTCGTGCGTTGCAAGTGTACCTCTCTATTGATGGAGCACAGGACCATGAATTGTGTGCTCTGTTATCGGTGCTCCAGATATCCACATTGTTAGTCCTCCTATACCTGTTACTTCTTGTATGGCCAGTTATGTGCATACTCTGAGGCTTGCCTAGGTCAGAGTGTGCTTGTGTGCCTGCTTTAGATGATGTTACCACAAGATGTTACAGCACATGGGGATGTGCTAGTGCCACAGCTTCCTCTCTGCCTCCCATACACGTGACGTTCTCAAGAGTTGCCTACAGCCTATGTCTCCATGCACGTTTCTAGCAAATCAGTTCACCGTTGACCTTTGGGCGAAGGGGGTTGAGGTGGAGAGGGGGAAGACCATGCGCAACTTCCATGTGTGGAAGACCATGAAGTACGCGGTTTTGTTCATTAAGTAGAGAGAGCTGATGTAAAGTTTTAAAAATATTAGTTGTAAAGTTTTAAAAATATGTTATATAGTTGTGTGTGTGTATACACACATACAGAAGTACAGCTTTATAAAAAAGCAAAATATAAGAAGCAGAAGGGACATTTCTTCAGTGGTTTTGTAATTGGTGGTTGATCACCAATTATGTTTTTAGTGCTAATAATTAACAGGGAAGTGCTATAAGTATGTAAATGTTTTTTTGTTTAAAGTTTGAGTCAGAATCTAGATATGTGTTTTGATAAACTGTTTAATATATTATCTACTACTTTTGCTTTATTGTTTCCTTTATTAAGAATGATATTGCTACATCCTTGATGTTTACTGTAAATAATTATTACTGTTTTGTTGCAGAATGTGCTCACTTGCTTTTAGCCCATAATGCTCCAGTAAAGGTGAAAAATGCTCAGGGATGGAGCCCTCTTGCAGAAGCCATCAGCTATGGAGACAGACAAATGAGTAAGAACCTCTGCTTCCCAATTAATCAGAAATTGAGGCCTCATTCAGAACAGGAAAACAGGTTTTCAAGCTAGTTTTTTTTTATAATACTCCTATTTTAGTTCTCTGAAGAGTTTATCTTAATCAGCTGAACTTTTTTATATCTAAATATGATACAACAACCTCTACACATGTCTTATTTCCTTAATAAGAAAGAAACTGCATTGGGATACATAATGCTAAGTAGAGTTAAAATTTTGCTTGAAGTGATTGTAAAAGCTATAAACTAGCATTCTGTATTTAAAATTGGAGTTACAAGGTCAGAATGGAGCTGTATGGGATCATCTAATTGGAACTGCTCCATGTGGGCTTGTGTATATTTGATATATCAGTTGGCAATGGGATATTACTTTTATGTTTCACCTCAACAGGCCAGTGGACAAATATAGTGATTACTTATTCACTTCAGACATGAAGTAGTAAAGGGGAAATTATTCTACCGCTACTCACTAGTGGATGTTAATAGTATTTGGTATTACCATGTCTTGTAGCAGAAAACTCACCATATATTATATATATAAACATGTATTATTAATACATTGATGCACTAGTTTGTAATATACTAACAACATTCTGCACGTCAGCTCCTCACTGATAAAGAATTTTTTCAGTAGGAGTAGATGTTATGCAATCTACAGGCTCATGTTCAATAATGTACATGTGTACCCACTTGTTTACTAATATGCATGTAAAAGACCTCTTGACATGATTGTATACTTTATATTATAAACAATTATTGAGGCTTTTCTTCCTGTTGTGATCAGAGTAGGCTATGTATAGTAGTAGGCTATAACTCGAAGTGAATTTCTCCAAAGTCTGATGAAATTCTAGATTTGCATTGTTTTTTCTTTTTTTAAGATGTCAAATAATGACACTAACCTGTAATTAACAAACAAATAGAATACGTTTACCTTATAGTTAATGTCTGTTTAGTTACAGCACTCCTAAGGAAGCTTAAACAGCAGTCCAGGGAAAGTGTTGAAGAAAAACGACCTCGATTATTAAAAGCCCTGAAAGAGGTAAGTTCAAGGCAGTTGTGTTGACAAAACCAGATTGTGATGGAAAGCAGTGGATTATGTTCTTAGTATGGATGCTCTGGCAAACTGTAAAAAAGTTTTTTTTTTTTTACTTGCTTTACAAATCTCTTTTGCTCTTAATAGCAATCTTGCCTTACAGTGCCCATTTTAAGGGGTCACAGAATTATTTGTATTTTTAAGATAATACTTCCTTCTCAACTTCTAGAAATTCAAATAGAAAGGTTTATGTAGGGCAGACATGCTAGTCTTCTTTGCAACCTAAAAGTTAAAGAATGCATTTTTAATCTGTATTTATTTCATTAGATTTTTAAGGCTTTCTTAAATCTTTTGTTTTGGTGAATAATTTATTGATTTTATTTAGTCACCAATCATGAATGACACTTTCTCTTCTTGCTTGGTAATGAAAGAGATTTTTTGGTTTAATTCTCTGTCTACATGCAGCAGGCAATTCTTCTTGAGCACAGCGAAACATTGCTCAGTTTAGGGAAACCAGGAAGAAAAGCTCAGTTTCCTCTGTTTCAGACTGCTGCTAGTGTGCTAAAACTGTGGTTATAAAATGCAGGCATTTACCTCCCTTTAGGTGGGGTGAGCTTCTCCTGCCTAGTCAAGTGGTAAAATATGAATGGGTTTGTAGAAAACCAGCTATTTATCTTAAGTTAATTAATCCATACAGCCTTACTAGAACAGCTCTGCTGTTCCTTATTCCTGCTGGTGCAAGACCTGGCCTGGAGTTGTGTATTTTTCTTCTTGTGTGGAGTGGAAGTGTGTGGCTACGTCAGTGTATTGCAACATTTGCTAATTTTAATCGAGTCACTCCTTACTTTTGTTTTTGCTTTGCATACAGTTTAAAGGAGTTGGCTGGCATGTGTTTATGGAGGTAGAGAGATTTTTATGTAATGACTTAAGCATGTCTCCAGAAGGCAATTTGAAGTTTGTGTATGTGAATACTCCTAGCTGAAACTTGACTCATTAATTTAAGCCAGAACATAAAATTCCATGGAGATGGATGTGATCAATCAAAGCAAGCAAAGAGCTCCATAGATCTTTTTTTAAACACATATTTACAATAAGTCTTTTGCAATCCATGGCTTAATAGCTGTGTGAATTATTATTTTTTAAAAAAACGTTACAAATGGGTAGTTCAAATTAGTTACATAATTTTATCATTATTGATTCTACTCTAGTTAAAGCTTCAGAAATGTTTAAGTTCAGTATAAATACAAATACTAACATTAGAGAAAAAGTTTTCTTTGGCAAAACACACTTCTGTCTGTCAGCAAATTTTACAGTTGTCATTTAGACTAAAAAGCTTGTTAATACGTTCTTTTCATCTCAGCTAGGTGACTTCTATCTAGAGCTTCACTGGGATTTTCAAAGTTGGGGTAAGCAATTGCATATTCCTTTCGTAGGGAGATAATATATATAAATAAAATACAAATATAATCACAGTCTTCAGCATGCCTGTTCTCTCAAGCTTAAATTCTCGTCTGGTTTGCATGTTGGAAAGTTCACAATCCAGTTCTCAAAATCTAAGTTATAAAGAAAAGATGGACAACTTTTTTTCTGAATTATTTTTGCCTATTCATTTTTGGAGCTGAATTCTATTCTATAATCCAATGACACAATACTTGGGGGGGGAACAAGCTGTTTACTTTAAGAAATTGATTATTAGAAGAGTAAAATATTAAAATGTCTCTATCTGGTCAATTGGTGTCACTATAGAGCAGTGGTTTGAACAACTTAGTTGAGTAACTGGACTTGGGGCATTTAATTTCCTGAATTTCACCCTGTGTTCTGAATGGTGACTGCCAGTGAAGTGCAACTGTGTGGTGGGTTCTTCAAACCCTAGCTTCACCTTAATGTTTCTTTTATGTGACTCTATAACGTTTAGTGTTTTCTTAATTTCTACCCCCTCTTACCTGTAGAAGAAAAATCTAAATAAATCAGAAAAAACGTACTGACAATGATTAACGTGTCTGAATAATGTCAATGTATCGGAAGTGATACATTCTGTTATACCTTCTGTTACTGGTTGAAATTTAAGTTAGTAATTTTATATACTTTCATATAGGCGTAGTCTAAGTATTTGCTGCACTGTATGCCTCTTCCAATATTCAGAGGAGGAATGAGCAGTCAGGCTGCCATCAAACATTGAACAGATATGGAACAAACGCCTCGTTTTTCTAGGTGGCCTACTGTGTGCTGCATATTTAATGAGTAGACTTTTTCATGACTCATGAAGAGTCAGCGTAAAAAAAGAGAGTAGAGCTAGGCATGGAGTAAGATAAGATATTGCTTAGTGATGAAGACTGCAGCCTGACTTGCAGAGTATGATGGTGGCAGTCACATATTGCACAAGAAAAAGTGATGCCAGAGTTAAAGCCAGCTCCCTAGGGGTCCTCTTCTCCACGAGTCTCACTGTGCCTCTGTTTACATTATTTAGGTTTTTCTATATATTCTCTTGAAGAGAAAAAGATGCTCTGGCCAGTGCCTCTGTCCTAATTATTGGTCCTCTAGGCTGATTACATTTTACAGGTGGTCTTAATTCTTTGTAGTTAATTTTGAAGAAAGTGTTGAAATGCCATTGCTTCGAATTGGTTTTATTGCTATAAAGTAAATGGTCCTTTTTAGGATAAGGACAGCTGCAGTCTCATATATACATCTCTTAATACTATACTGACTCAGTTCCACTGGTGGTTTAATATTTGCTTGATGTTTTAAGCTTAGTGCATTGGATTTTTTTGTTTCTGTTTGTGGGTATTCTGCTTGAAATCTAGCTAGGCTTTCAGTTGGTACAATATATAAGTAAACTATCAAATCATAGAATTAAAAATTCAAACAGCTAGAAGACAACTTATTAGAATTTATAAATGATTTGGCTGTGGCTGAGAACATTTCAAATTATATCCTGATGCTGGAAGTAGTCTGTACAATTACAAATCAGTTTTGCAGCTATTGAGTAGAAACAACCCTAGTATTAGTTGTATTTGTATTGAGATTATGATGGAAAACAGGTATGCTGTATTTGTATTAAAATACATTGAGATTCAAACTGATGTATAGTTTTAATAGAAATACTTTGCAGAGGAATCTCAGTGTCATAATTGCATTCTCTCTCCCTACCTTTAGTGCCTTTACTTTCCCGAATTCTGCCTTCTGATGCATGTAAAATACACAAACAAGGTATAAATATCAGGTAAGTACTGATTTTACAGTGTATGTTATCTAAGTCATAAATATCTGCATGTTAGTGAAAATGCTGGGTTCCAGTGTGGTCTGAAAGAAATCACTGAGGAGTCTGCAAACATTTGTGAAACAGCATTGTATTGTACATTGGCATTTAGAGGCAAGAAGTGGTTTGAACTTCAGACTGTCTTTTTTTCTCTGTTGATCTAAATTTAACTTCAGCTCCTAAGTCACTTAAAATATAAAGCAAAAGCAGATAAGGCTTTATCTACCAGACATGACAATGATTAATTGAAAAACAGGAATTTGATATTTTGAACACAACTTCAAATAAATGAGCTTTCAGCATTTTGTGGAGAAATGTTGCTGCTCCATTTTATGTTCTAAAGAAAGTGGTATAGTGTCTATGTTTAAAATCCTTAATGTGACAGATTCACAAACTCAATAGAGTGCTTCCAGGAGTCTTTCCAAGCTCAGCTCTTTAACTGGTTTAGTTTGGGGTTTTGGATTCAAATGTCTTTTTCTGTAGGTTCCAAAGTTTAAAACAAACAAAAAGTCAAGAATATTATTCAGAAAATTCAATCTGTAGAAAATTTTGTTCTATTAAAGCTGTTAGCATAGGTGTGTGAACTGACTTTTTAGGTCAAATTTGAGTCCGAGACTGTTCTTTTTTCCTTCCCATTTCTGTGCACTCTGCTTGTGTGAGACAGAGCTACGAGACTGGCACTGACTGGAAATAGCTATAGATTCTTTCTTGAAATCAGAGGCCAATATATGATGAATATTAAGCAATCACCCCCTAGACCTGAAGTGGTCTCTAAATTCAGGCTCTTTAACCATCTTTGTTAAAGTAGTAAATATTCTAGCAATAATGGATATGAATTGCTAGAGAGATCTTTTGTCCTTGGCTCCATATCCTAGTTATTCAGGTCAGCAGAAGCATTTCTTTTGTGTTGGTGAGGGGAAAAAATAGAAATAGCAACTAAAATAAGTCAAATTAAAAAAAAAAAAAAATCAGTCTGTTTCTTGGTCCTCTTCCTAATTTGGGTCATGGCCTAGTATTGGTACTCAAATCAGTGGCTGCTTATTGTAGAGCAGAATGCTGATTACATGGAGTAGTTGTATTTCTCAATGTGTAGCACATACTGGCTGTATAAATTCTGTCACTTCCTCGTGCTGGCAATTTTGAAATAAAGTTTTCTGAAGAAAATTTTACCTTTTCCTGTCAAGTTAGCATAAGTATAGTTTGGAATTCATGTATCATGGTAGAGATGTTATAATGTGAAACCTGTTAACAGAATTTTTGTTTTTATTTCTGCATCCAGGTTTTACTTATGAAGTATTCGATGAAGACTTAGGCCTTAGCGTGTTTGGTTGTGATTTAAAAAAAAAAAAAGCTTCTGCTTGCAAACTGAACTTAATATTGTATTTGAGTGTTTATGGGTAACTTCTTTTAAAGTATTGGTATGTTTTCACAGGCTGGACACAACTCTCATAGACTTTACTGACATGAAGTGCCAACGAGGGGATTTAAGCTTCATTTTTAATGGTGATGCCGCACCCTCTGAATCTTTTGTAGTTTTAGACAATGAACAAAAAGTTTACCAGCGAATACATCATGAGGTAAAGATCTGTGTGAATGTAGGGTGTGAAATACTTCAAGCTTTTACTTCATGTCAGAAGTCTGACTTATTGTATTAAAGAAAATGTGCCTCTCAGAAAGATGCAAACAAGCTCCAGAGAAATGCAAACCAAAGAATTTTTTGTTCAGTTGTTATAACTTAAGCTGTGTAGGTGACATAAAATTTTGTTATGAAAAACAGTGCTTTTGAATACAGATTTCTAAATAAGGAAAAAGCTAGAGTGTGAATCTTTTGGAAAAATCTTTTTTCATTCTGAATAGGCAAATATGTTTTAAGTTATGATGCATGCTACTTCTAATCATTCCAGTGCACTTAATTTAAGTGTCCTCAGGTGGGTTTTCAAACTTGCTTGCCACTGCTTTGCATCTGTTTAGTCACTCTGGCCAGTTTACTTGTTAACAGTACAACGGCATGACTCATTGGTCCCCTTGTATTTCGTCAAGTTTTTAGTAATAGCTTTATCCACCAATCACTTAAGCATATGGATCTTTCCCTGTGGAAAGGGTGTGGCTGCTGAGCTTCTGGATAAATCACACTTGGATGCTTAATTTGCATTAATATTTAAGATTAAAATGTTTAAGATTAAACTATTTGGTAACCATTTGGCCAGAGCCTGTATAAAACAGTGTGAAAATTCAGGAAAATGCTAGTTCTGGGAAAAGTTCCAAAGGAAAAGGTTTATTGGTTTTGTTGGGGTTTTTTTGTTTTGTGTTTTTTTTTGTTTTTTTAGTAATCATTATTAAGTTCTAATCAATATTTGGAAATTTTTCTTCTAGGAATCTGAGATGGAAACAGAAGAAGAGGTTGACATTTTGATGAGCAGTGATATTTACTCAGCAACATTATCAACCAAATCAATTACCTTCACACGTGCCCAAACGGGATGGCTTTTTCGAGAAGACAAAACAGTAAGCTGAAAGAAAATTTCAGACTGCATTACTGGAGACAAAATAGTTCAGACAGCCTTAGGATGGTGTGGTTGGGAAGAAATAAGGAGTAAAAGAATAAGATGTTCAGGACGGAGGAAAAATGTCTCCCCCTACCCCTTACAATTGTCACTGGTTTGACCACATAGAATATATATGATGGACTGCCTTCATAAGAAGAAGCTAGCCTGGAAGAAGGGTAACAAACTGTAGCTATTGGGCAGCGGGGAGAACAGATTGTCCTGCAAGTTGCTTTATTGTAGGACTATATGGTCTCTGCAAATTCATTCCGGGGTGTGCAGTAAGGATTCTCTGCGCTCCCATGTCAGAGAAATGCAGGAAGATGGGAGTGTTCTGGGTAGTTTCCTTTGGGTGCTCCTGTCCGTGTTATCAGTCTGACTGAGGTGCAAGTTCTCAGCTGTGAAAAAATTGAAATGGCCACTGTCATAACTTCTTTGAGTAGGAAGTTGCTATCTTATGACACGCTCTGATTTTGTTTTTATCTGGATCTGTTCAGGTAGTGCCATTCATTGCAGGTTTTCTTCTGAGCTAGTGTTTCAGAACTTTTTGCCTTTTGAATACCAAATCTGTATTCTACATGTGTAAATTATCCTTTAACACAGCTTGCTGTGTTATTTTATTAGGATTTTAGTCAGATCTCCCTTGGCCACTCTTAAATTCTTAAACAGTCTTTTAGTCTTAAAGTTTCCATGGATATGAAATATCTGTTCCTGATGGAGTTCTTGTGTTTGTGCTGTACATACCTTACAGGGATTGTCCACTGGTGGCTCATGTGGTTGGTTGTGTAACTTACAACATTTCAATCCTGAAGTTATCTTACTGCACTGAAGTGCAATTATTTGGATATACGAGAATTTAAATGTTTTTATTTTATCTTCTGTGAGTCATTTAATGTCCAATTCTTTTTGTGCAGGAAAGAGTAGGAAACTTTTTAGCAGATTTCTACTTGGTTAATGGACTTGTATTAGAATCAAGGAAAAGAAGAGAACATCTCAGTGAGGAGGATATTCTTCGAAATAAAGCTATCATGGAGAGCCTGAGTAAAGGCGGCAACTTAATGGAACAAAATTTTGAGGTATACTTAAGTAATTTTTCACAATATGTGAATTTTTGCGTAGGAGAATAATCTTTCACACCAGTCATTCAGCAAAATCTATAGATGTTTTTATGCTGATTGTCTTAATTTTAAAATAATAAATATGACCTACAAGTATAATCATGGTGATACATTAATGAATTATCCTGATTAGTGCACACATTGAGGAATTTCTGTGATTATATTGGATATTTTAGTCTTAATTTGTCTCTTAGTAAAAGATGATGGGTTTGGCTGTGGCAAATTACTTTAACTTCTTTTCGACCAAATGTTTATTGTTTAGAATGCCTTTCTGGTTTTCTTTTCAATGGTGTTTTCCTTTAGCTTCATTAAAATGGACTAAGCCTGTTATTATCACCATGAAATCAAGAGCTATTCAGAATGAGCCAGACATCATCTGGGAACATGCATACAGCCTTTTAAAAATGATTAATTTATTTCTGTTTTAGCTTGTTACTTGTCATTCAGATGCTTGAACTAACTGATTAACTGAGGTATTAAAACAGCCAACTTCTATGTAAAATACAGTTTGAGGCCAAATACATGAATGGAGACTATGAGAGCAGGAGATGGAAAAGCCCAGTGAAGTATCAGCTACAAACTGGATAGACTATATTGCTGTTCTTCATAGAATTGATGTACAGTTGTATCTCTTGAATAGTAAAATTTCAAGAGAATGTAAGGAAAGATAAACAGTTAAGACATGTTTTTCTGAACAGCCTGTCAGACGGCAGTCACTTACTCCGCCATCACCCAATACAATTACATGGGAAGAGTACATATCTGCTGAAAATGGAAAGTAAGTATTTTTGTTTTATTGACATTAACTTCCATAGACACCTTTAGATTATTGGTTTGGGGTTGTGGGGTTTTTGTTTTGGTTTTTGTGTTCTCTAGTTTGTGGGTGCTTTTTGTTTATAGTTTTCTGTGGACAGAGGAACATTGGGTTTGATGTCTCAGATGTTTAACATTCTTAGTAGGCTGGCTGGGAAGCAGATACCTGTATACAAAAACAGTACTATTGCATCAACTGGTGATAAAAATATTAGATGGGCATCTACCACATACCCATGGATTGAAATGTAAACATTTTGAAAATATGCACATCTAAGCTGGCTTTCTCTTTTTTAAGGAAGATTGCTGCAATTCATTTATCTTATGATAGTAATAAATAATCCAATTCACCATGTTCAAAATAAAAGTTTATGATTTAATGAGACTCTAGTAGCAGTGGCAGTGTACAAAAATGCACACTTCTGGAATACAAGGACATACAGATCTCCTAGTACTAGCCAGATCTTTGCAAGATACTCTCCTCTATGTGTGTAACTCGGTAGCAAACAGCCGTAACTTAAATTAATTTACAGTAGCTTCATTTGTAGAAAATGCAAGCAGTTGAGTTTATTTTCTAGGACTGCATGCTGTCTAGCTGTTGAATGTAGAAGGAACAAAAAAATCTACTGAGTGTGTCACATAAGTACCAATGATAAAAGTCCTTTCTCCAATGGTATTAGACTAGCCTATAGTCAGATGTTACCAGGGGATATGATGGTATTACTGTACAGGCTTACTAAAAAGGCACATGGATCTGGTTTGGGTTTTTGTGTTTTGTTTGGGTTTTTTTTTTTTTTAACTAATATAGTTTTTAATGTATCCAAGCAGAATAAATAGGTTATGCTTGAATAGCTATTACTATTGGGACAGAAATATGTATGTATATAAGATTTTGCTTTGTTTAATAACCTGATTAAGTGAAGGGAGTTTAATGGGAAATCTAGGTTTCTAGCTAATATAAAGCAAAAGAAGGAAAAGATTTGTTATCTTGTTACCTGTCTGTTTCTCTCCTATAACAGAATTTTCCATCCTGTATTTTCCAGTATTGCCTTCTAGTGATAGTAGAGTAACTTTTCTGCTTTCTCTGAGGTTGTTTCATATTTTAGGCTGAAAGCAAATTAATCTTTTTCTAGTTCAACTTGATACTTTGTTCACATATAGACTATTTTAATATCTGAAATCAGCTGTATATATTTCTGGGTAGTTGTCATGTCTTTCTATAGTGTTTATTAATATAATGTTTATGAGGAATTATTTGAAGATTTTTCTTAAGTCGTTTCCCTAACTGGTTTAGTTTGGTTTAGCAGAACTCATAGTAATCTAAATTTAAGATGGTTACTGACTCATCTTTACTATGCATAGCTTTTACTTTTAAAGTATTTGTTTTATTGTAGGGATTCTTTACTGACGTTTTCAAACCTGAGTCTTTCTTCCTTCCTTTAAAACCAAGGTTTCACTGAGAGAAAAACTGACTTTGTCTTTCTCCCCTCCCCCTTACAGAGCTCCTCATCTGGGTAGAGAGCTGGTCTGCAAAGAAAGCAAGAAAACCTTTAAAGCTACGATAGCTATGAGCCAAGAATTTCCCTTAGGAATTGAATCGTAAGTCAAAATTATTGGCCATGAATGTTATGTATATGAAGGAAATGTTTTAATGTGTTTATGAACTGCAGAATTCTTCGTATCTTTAGGTATGGGAATTTGGCAGTTTAAAACCTGTGAATGAAGTCATGCTGTTGAGCAAGTAAACTGTTAAAATTAGAGACCTCAGTGCTGGTGTGCCTGTTATTGGAAGAGCCAAGCACTTATCTTACTTGATAAGACCAAAGGTTTGACCAGGTTTATCATTAACTTGTCACATTACTGATGTGCCTGATTCTACAGAATTCTAAAACGTTTTTGCCCATAACAAGTTTTAGCACAAAGTTATGTCCTCTAAAGCAACACAAAACCATGTAAGGTTCCTTACGTTCATGGAGAAGAGGGTGTGGCAAGAAATTAATATCTTGATGTTTATTTGTACAGCTATGGTAATGTGATATGGATCACTAAGAACTGAATGTGAGGATGCTGATATTGAAGCTCTAAGGACGTATATAAGCATGATGTAATTTTTCAGCTCCCTTTTTATCACCTTGCTCTTTGGGTCTTTTTTATCTTTTCTAGAGGGAAAGCTTATGAAACAAGAATTTGTAACAAAGTCTGATTTCCTTTTCAGATTGTTGAATGTTTTAGAAGTAATTGCACCATTCAAGCACTTTAACAAACTTAGAGAATTTGTTCAAATGAAGCTTCCACCAGGCTTTCCTGTAAAATTAGGTAAGATGACTACAGCAACTCTTGTGGCTTTATATTTCCAAAATGTGTGCAATTATTCATGCAATATGTTCAAAACTTCTGTTGAGTTTTGGAAAAGAACTCTCTCAGATAAGAGTGTGTTGCTGTTGATTTCAGGAGAACATAGTTAAGTTAGTGGAAGTAACATTAGGTAGGAAGTCTGCAGCTGAAAGGTGAATGTAATTCTAGTCAGGAGGACAGATCTGTGATTTACATTTTCGTAATGCTGGGGTCTTGTTCTAAGAGTAGTGTAGATAGGCTGAATTATCCTTGCATTGAAGGATGATCTCAGTCATGGGTTAAGTATTTTGTAGCATTTCTGTATTTCTTTTTCCTCAAGGATTACTGGTGATATTTTTTTCATTTACAAATAAATAGAAAACTATTACACTTCTAATAAATGTAAATGTATAAAGCAGTTTATTCATGGTATAGATTATCACAGCATGAACTGCCAAAAAGGAATAGTACCTTTTGTAAGCGTTACAGGATTTCTCACATACCGGTAAGCTGTTTAAGCTAGACAATTCTGAACAGACTGTATTCTGCCTCCTATCATATTTGCACACTCTGTTTATTGAGGATTGAATTTTTGCTTAGCTCATTAAGTTAGTTCATGGGCAAGCCAGTTTTATTAAGGATAACTCTTAAGTGTTCAACCTCAATTCAAATTAGAAAAGGGTTATATTTTGAAGCAAACATTAAAAAGGTTCATCTTTTCATGTGGATTTGCTCAACTGAAGCCTACATGTGGCAAGGTTATTACATCTTGTATCATCTCCAGGCCAGTGTCCTCTATTTTACAGATTAATCTGTATGTTCACAGCACCTTGGTTTCCAAGTCTGCATCAAGAAGGGAAAACCACTGAATTAATAATATTAACGGTTTCCTGAATGATGTATTGAGTTGGGTATTGTTTCTGTGCTCGGGGTATCTGAGTATGTTCTGAAGTAACTTTCTTTAAACCACCTCTTTTAAGAGCTTTGAATTGCCATTGTATAGAAACTAACAAGCTTCTACGTCTTTACCAAGTCTGAAGTTACAAAACTTTTAAGTAACAGTTGATAATTAGTGGTAAGCCTGTATTTCTTTGCTCTTCATCATACTGTTTTGCTTTCTACCTAGATATTCCTGTATTTCCCACCATCACAGCCACTGTGACTTTTCAGGAGTTCCGTTATGATGAATTTGATGAATCCATCTTCACTATTCCTGATGACTACAAGGAGGACCCCAGCCGTTTTCCTGATCTCTAACTAAACTGGAAGGTTAATGGTGAATAACAATACCAGCGTACCACAGTGAAAGCAAATGGATGCAAATAGCCCACAGATATAGATAGAGAAGTGGGTCATAAAGGAAGGGATAAACTTAATAATCCAGAAGAAAAGGGAACATGCATCAAATGACTGATGTACTGATACTCACTATAATGGGCATCTAATCTAGTTCGTGATTTACAGCAAGTCTCCTGATGTGTTGTTCACACTTTTATACATTCAGTTCTGCAAGTGTGGTAGTCTGACACCTCGATGACCCTGAGAATACTTAACAGCTGTGAGGACTATCATTCGTTTTTAAATTTTTTACATTTCTTGTTGATACAAAAAGCACTCTTGGACCATTAGCATAAAAGTTGAACTGTCTTAGCTGGATATTAGCCCTATAAAACATCCCACCATACTTACGATGACCATATTATATTCTTTCAAGCTTTGTTTTCATGAATTGTAAACTATGTATCATTATGTATAGTTCAGTAATTTGAATGTTAGTTGAACATATATTAGAAGGAATGCATTTTCTGTAGATGAACGAACCAAATGGTAACCATTAAACAATTGCATTTTCATACCGCAATACACTTCAGAAATAGCATTCACTCTGCAGGGAATAAGGTACCTCCTCTAGCACCTTAGTGCAATCCATTGTGGTGCTATCCATGTCTCTCTGAAACATTGATTTCTTCACTGAGCTGTTTGTTCATGTTCCTTTCATTGGGTCTGCTCTTAACTTCTCTCCATCGTACTGGCTTGGAAGTCCCTGCTGTGTCCATGATGCTGTGTTGATTAGCATGCTCGGAGGTTCATTAGCTAGAAATTGTCACTTTTCTTCTTTTTCCTCATTCACTTAGGAGACTTGCTCCATAATGGTTGAGCATCAACTAGGTTATCGTGTATTTGTATTCAGCAGCCACTTGAAAACATGGGATGCCTATAAAGAGTTACTAGAACAATAAGCTCAAGCGTTAAATCTTCATATAAGAAAAAGGTTCTCTTGAAGTTAGTTTAATTGTAGTGCACATTGAATAGGGCTCACGTTGGAAGATTTTATTTGCAAATGCCTAGGATGTTTCCAGATTAATTTCATTCTTCTTAATATTTTGAATAGGTAGGTGTTTCAGTACTCTGGCTTCTTGAGCTTATTCTCATTCCAAGTGGTTCCAGTCTCCTAATTTGACAATAATCCAGCTTTTTGGTTTGTTAGAAGGAATTTGTGCAAAAGGCTAATGGTGCTATTTGTTTGTATTAAGAAATTTAGATTAAAGTGCTGTGGTGTAATTGTACAAAAATGTAAATATTTTCAAAATTATATTCTTTGTGCACTGTAGTTAAAACTTTTTCTGGAAATCAATAGAGTTAAGTATCAAACTTTATAATAAAGAGTACCATCAATGCTTAGTAAAGGTAACCAACCTAACTAACCATGCAGGTGGTAAGTGGAGATGGCTTATCACAAGGCAATAAAAGCTGACTTGTCAGGCACATTGACAGAATGTGGAAATACATGTCTGAAGCAGATGTTCTTGCAAAACTTCTGGAATCCGTCTGTATAAAACCCAAAGAGGCTGCTCTAGAGAAGTACAATATCCACTCTGTAGGTGGCGTCCTAGTGAATCACTGTCAGCAAAGTACAGATAAAATAAGAAGTTGAGGTTGATCCTTTTCCAGCATCACTATAAACCTGCAAGTTTGACAGGTGAGTAATGTTTACTTTGCAGACTGTGATCGATACACTGGAGTTACTAATTCAAAATCAAATCGAAAATAACACTATAGGGGAAAAAAGCAAAGGGAAATGTAGGATTGTAATGACTTTTAAAGTACTGTATCAGTAGCAGATGTTGAACATTCAGTAGGAATGATAGAACTTGTTCTTCCAAGTAATGATGAATTCCTAAAGTGTTTTACATCTGTGGTATAAATTGACACCCACCTCATGCTCCTCCTTAGAAACAGCTGAGATCTTTACCATGAGAGACCAGGGTTGAATGTATGTAGAGACTGAATTATCCTGTCAGTGCTGGAGGTTGGCATTAAATGTCAGTGGGGCCAAATACGGATTTCTCCTGTTGCCCTCTTTTACAGATGCCCATTGCAGGGTAGAATGTTTTGTGTAGTGCTGCTGGATGGGGTCTTGTGCTGGGTTTGAAACTGAAGCGAGTGCAGGTGCTGTACAGGAGTACCAAGTTGCTTGGAAACTTCAGCAAACGCAGAAGAACGTTTCTCCGTAAGGTGAATGTTAGAAATCCTTTTTCTCAGTATTACAGGGAAAGAACCATGTGTTTCATATTATTTTGATTATTCCAAATTACCGTCACAGAGCTTGCTGACATAGGAAGGAGCATATGTAGCTGGAGCTATGTGGTTTAGGCAATATTGGACTGGATTCTAGACTTTAGAGAAAAAAAAAAAAAAGCTTTTTGTATAGCCTCACATGAAAACAGGGTTCTGTATATCTCCATCTGCCTATAGAACAGCCCATGTCTTCTGGTGGCAAATGAGGTGTCTGACTCAAAGCCCACTGCAGTTTGTGGAAATGTTTTCTGTGATTTCCATGGACTCTGGCTGCAGATTTTGTGGGGTTTTTTTAACCTTCATGATTACACAACTACTAACTTTGATACATTTTAAGATTTGCAGAAACTTTTTATAGTGGGTTGCTATATTAAGGCTTGCTCCTATTTGGAGTGTCAGCAGAGAAGAGTGGACACAGATTTGGTTGACTCTGTAGTCTTTTTACATTATTGTGGTGAACTACCCTGCTACTTCTTTTCTTCTTACTATGGAGCTGAATATCTGACTCCAACCAGATTGTCCTTTCCAGTTCAGTGACTGTTTGCAGATTCCTGTGACAGCCTCATGAAGTTAAGACTTGGTGAACTGTTTCTCAGTACATTTCTTTCCAACTTTCGGTGATGTGTTTTCTGTCTGAAACATTCCTAGTGATGAGTTTTGAAACTTAAAACACAGGGGCACTTGCGGCACGCTTTCCTGATGGATACACTGCAAGCTGCAGGAATCCTCGTTAGCAAGAGGGACGTTAGGCTGAGTCTACCTTAGGGACTTGCGTCTTGGCACAACTGTAGCAATCCACAGGCGTCAAGAGATGTGGTCCCGGCAGCGTAGCTGTGCTGGTGCAGTTCTTTAGTGGTGACTCTGTCCACACTGATATAAATGTTTTATCCACTATAATTTGTTTTGTTTGCAAGGGGTTTTGTGTTGTACTGACACAAAGTGCGTGTTTGTCGGTACGGATGCGTCTGCACAGAAGCTTCACCGGCGCTGTGGGTGGGTGAAGTGTTTCTAATATAGAGGGAGCCTTAGTCCACAGCTGTGCTGTGGGCACCGGTGTCCTTTACCACTTGTGATCTCCTGTTCAGATATCTTTGGGGAATTTATTTTTTCTAGCAGGATTGATTAGCAGAACTTAATTTTTGTTTCTCCCCTTATCTTTTCCTTAAGACCACGTTGGGTGTTAAGGGAAGATTTGGTCCCCTGTAGAGTAAATACATATCCACAGCGTTTTTACAGAGGTGGTCTCATCACTGCTGCCGCAACAAGAAGCATGTCACCCTTAACTTGTTAATTTGACAAGTGCACGTGTAGGGACTTCCATTGCAACAAGATACCCTGGAATGTAAGAATACCTGGGTAACTAAAAACGCCTTTCTGGACACACCGGCCGAGGTATCATTTATGGTTACCGTAAGCGGGATGAAAAAGGGAGCTTGCGCAGGTTGGGTAAGAATCACTGTATTCAGATGCACATTGACACCGTGGTGCTCTTGGAGGTGAAGCCCACAACGGTGCGCATGTGACGCGTGTGGAGGAGGAAACCTCTGTGCCAGGGCTGTGGGAGACCACCTCAGTTCAGAGTTTGGGGCATTGTTTCTTTCTGATCTTGCCACCTTTTTTTTTTTTTTTTTTTCCTCCCTTCTTCCCCCGATGGCTGTGAGGATTTTTTTGTGAATAAGTATTAAAAGACAGCCATTAATTTTGGTAAACTGAAATAAGAAATTGTTGCAAAAGAATTCCTAGAGTTGTTTCTTAACCAAACTGATTTACTGGTCTTCCAAAGTATTGCTTTAATTTGTGGCAAAGGGAATGCGTTTTCTTTTTCCTTTCAAGGAGCTGCTGTTCCAGTCACTGTACTCACTTTACTGTAATTCTTGATTTATGTATTGGAATGATTTGTTACAAAAACCTCTGGATATATTTGTGCTGGAAACCCACCTTGTTAAGTTGATACTCAAAGCAACTGTCTTTTTTTAAAATATATTTGTTCTTGATTTGTAATTCATGCAAGGATAACTGCTTATTTAATCTGTATCAACAAATTTCCTGTAATGCTGCAGTTCCACATTTATTTTCCTTACAATTTGTAATTATCATGGAAACAATGTCACTTTTTTTGCATTTTACTAGCTGTCTGGTCCATGTTTTTAACTTACTAATAGTAATTTTTGGTTGTATCATTTGTTAGAATAAAGACCAAAATATGCTGATTGATTCTGAAACTGTTCAACATGTGAAAATCAAGTTTTAACTCTCCTGTCACAGTACTTTTCAGCGTATATATATACACACACTGTAGCATGCATCTCTGAGCAGGGATTTGATCTGAGGGGACAAACTCACACTGCTACATTCTGCAAGGGCATTTTGTTGGTCTTTTTGTTTTAAATAAAATCCTGCATTTTCATTATAGACTCTTCTTTACCCTCTGTAAAGCTCCAAATCTTATTGGACTGTCTAGTATATAGTGGAATAGCAGTGGTGGAAGGGCATGCACAGTAGCTCCTGGCATTTACCTAGAGCTGAGGAGTCGGAAGTTTAGAAGTAGCTACCTGGGAGGGAGGGAAGGAGATATTTTAAGTTTGCTGTAATTACAGGAGTTTATCTCCTAAATTAAATAACAAGATGTGACAATTGGTTGTAACAGTAGTCTCTCAGAACTGTGGATGACTTGGAGAGTAAAACCTGGAACTTCTGAAGTTTCATTTTGCCTTGTAGAACGTTTTCTGGGCTTTTATGGTTTGGTTTGGGGTTTTCTGGGAGGTTGGTTTTTTGGTTTGGGTGGTGGTGGTTTGTTTTGTTGGGTTTTTTTTTGACTCAGAATCGCTTTTCTGCCCTCCTGCAAGCATCAAAAGTTGAGCTTGCAGAGCAGAGATCAGGACATCCCTCTATAGTTAAGGTCTTGCTAACTTTTGAACTCTTGTATTTATAAAGGGTAAGGAGAACTCATGTTTGGAGTTACAGAAAGTGCTTAAAACAGTACCAGTTAAAAACACACATTTCAGTAAACTCTGCACTTGTAGCCTTTATGTTGCCACAACACACCATTAAATCGTGTGGGTAGCCACAAGCCTGGCTTTTGCTATGATGAAGTACTTATTAATGAGTATGACAACACTTGTTAGGGACTTTCCAGCTTGATCACTGTGAAGGTATGACTGAGCAAGGTATTTTCTTTTGTATGTGGTTAAATCATCCATGTATGCTGGCCCAGCTGTTGACAGTGAATTCCCCAGCATCAACAGCAGGATCTACCTTTTTCCATCTGGATTGTGGTACTTTAGGCTCATTTAACATGTCATATATATTCATTCGAAATGAAATATTGCAGAATGAGCTGTATGCTGACATGGTACCTGAGAATTTGGAACAAAATCGCTACTGCCATTTTAGTTTCATTTTAGAGGAACAGCTGTCTCATTCCTCAAGATCAGCGAGAACGTGCTTTTGGCCACCTTGATGCTGGTGTACAAGTGGAACAGCTGGACTATTGGGGATCGGAGAGGAAGTTGAAATCTGACAATAGCAAATGTAAGGCTGATGCGTAAGCAAAAATTAATCCTATTTGATATTAAAATGTTTTGGGTTTTAAGAACTCTGGTAGTAGAAACAGCTACTAAAACATTCAATGCAGCATGGGCTTTAACAACTGCAACCCACAAAAGAGTATTAAGTCACCTGTGGTTCCTAGCTGGCATTTTCCAACACCTTTAGGTTTGGTCTGAAAATAGTTGCCTGTCTTTGGTAGCAGCCTGCCAACAGACAGTGGGAGAAAAGCAAGGAACCACTTTTCCTCACCCTTCAGTTACTCAATTACTATGTTTCAGCACATATTTTGTCTGTGACCCAGCCAACCAGTACTGAGTGCTGCCTCCACATCCAACCATTGCTGCCTGGTTCTCTGTATGATTTAAAGTAGAAAAACTCCTCCAAGTTACCACTGTCAGTTAAATCCACCTGTAAGAATGCCAGAGGCCAGGAGCAGCTGCTACCAAATCAGGATTAAACTACTTCAGTAATGCAGAGAGGCTTTACATGATGACTGGGAAAGCCTCACCTCAAGAGGCAGGTGTGCCTATGCTCCATAATAATTAGCAAACCAACTTCAAATTAGTACAATAAAGTTGTTCTCCTGGCTCTGTGCTCTAACTGTGTGACACAGGATACGTATACCTGGGAGAGGAAGCTCTCGTACAGGTTTGAGCAATGCAGGAGGAGGGCAGCGTCTTGTCTGTAACAGCTCTGGAGGGGAGCACTGTAAGAGGTTACAGACTGTTCCCCAAAGCAGCTGTTTCACTTCCTGCAGCACAGCTCTACAGGCTCAGCCAACACCCACTCCTACCCTGAAAGTCAATAAACCAAAAATACTTAAGGTTATGTGCACAATTAGCAAACGTGGTCTAAAACCACACACGTTTCTCCCATTTGTATTTGGGCTTGGGCAGCCGGAGGTATGCAGTTAATACACAACACAGACTTGGTTTGTTAGTAAAATAAAGTAGAAACAAGATAATTTAATTGCATGTAGCCCTTGATCTACCATCTTGAGCTCAATACCCTGCTTGGTCCTTCATTACAGCATGTGAATGACTTCCACAACAACAAGGTCTAAGGATCCAGGAGGTTTACTTTATTACTATAAATCAGTTTATGTTCTTGTACTTCACATATAAATATCTTGATGACAACAAAAAAGGCACATCTATGAAGACATCATGCACCTTGTCTGTGTCTAGTTTTATTTTATTACAAGAACTATCACTCTCCGCTAGAAATAAAAACCTAGAACTGGTTGTATGACATATACCTCTCTGTATTGACAAAATACTCAAAACAGTCGGTAAAAATTTACATTTCTACAAATTCTAAAAATGACACTGCATATCTAAATGGCAAGTTCCACTTTGCCTGGGGCAAAAGGACAGTTTAAGAAGGTGGTTTGACTCATCAGATTCAAGAAGTTCAAGCACCACTTAGTTTCATTCCAAAACTTACTTAAACCAGTAAGTTTTTAGTTGACTTTAACAGCCTGCTTTATATGCACAAAGCACTCACTGCTTCCTGTTTCTGCTATTCTTCCATTACCATCCTGAAGAGGTGAATGTTCATATTTCAATGAAAATACAAAAAATTTTTACAAATACGTATTTCCTTTTAAAAGTACTTGTCCCATAATACCTCTAGATTCCCATTTAAGCCCACTCCCTTCATTCCCCCCAAAAGTAAAATAATTCTTTCTTTAGTGTAACATACTTAACTAGAGCTAAAATGGCAGGCTTATCAGCATTGTCACTGCACTTACAGTTCTTGAAGAGATGAAGTTGTTATGGTCTTTTTAAAATAGGCAGATGAAGAAAAACATATACTCTAAATGAATGAGGTAAAGTTTCATACATTCAGTGGTGTAAATAAATACCAGCAGAGTTTTATAGGAACATGAGTATAAGTTTAAGGGTTTTATTATCAAAGTTTTGTAAAACAATTTCAGAAACTGTACATCAACATGGCACAGACTGTAGCCTACTTTTGTCTTTTTACCTGCACAAAAGTAAAAGCTCTTGAACTTCTGTAACTAAGAAAACAGCTTGTCTAACTACTTTGCATATAACATGGAATCACTGTGTGCATAAGATTACTACTGCAGTGACAGTAAACACAAATTTATTAGTTTATACAACTTGAGATCAAGTAAAAAGTACATTATCAAGTAGACTTGCTTTTAAAAGCATACGAAGGTCAATTTTAAAATGCACTACCTTTTTGCAATGTGTTTAGATCCGTAACAAATAAAATTACCTGGATTATGAAAACTGCACAAATCAACCTTTAATCACTGGGCACCGATCAGAGATTTTCACTTCCCAAGGCTCAAGAAGGAAAGTTAAGAACCATTACAAGTCACCTGAGATGGATTTGAACTGACAGATTAAAAAAAGCCCTCAAAAAGGTTAGTGCATTTTAACTTTGTCAAAGCCAAACAAAACCCACCGGGAAAAAAACAAAACAAAACAAAAAACAACCCCAGCCACATGGCTTAAAAAAAAAACAACCCAAAAACTATCTATATCAGAATGCTTCTTTTCAGATGTACTGTCAATTTTTTTTTGTGTAGTCACACTTAAGACCCTTAAGTAGATCCACCATATGTTGTAGGACTTTAGAACATTTAGGATGTTTCTGCCACAATCAACATGCAGTCAGTGCATTCCCTATACTGCTCTATTACTGCAATGAATCAAATTCTAGAAACACTATCATAAGTGAGCTGATTTACTAAAGGAGATCATACAACAAACAGTCCATGCCTGCTGTAGATGCATGCAGCTTTTTACTGTTGCTTGAAGCATCACCAAGTTAGTAAAAATTGCTTGGCTATGCAATCCCTTTTGGCCGTTAACAAGAATGGTTACCTTTCTATAAAGCTTTTGATGTGAGTTAGTATCAGGAGACTTACAAACCAGGTATAGCTTAGAGCTGTATACATCTAGATTTAGGATTAACAAGTACAGCATAAAAGAATCACACAGGAATGACACTGATGCACGTCTGCAGCTGTGTTCACTGCAAAGGCAAAATTCAGTCACTCATATCCATGTCCTCTTCGTGATGATCATCCCCATTTACTTTGGATTCCCTTGCTGAATCTCCACTTCCTTTATCAGCGGCAGACTCCTTTACTTTAGGGGAGGAAGAATCTGCCATTTTCTTTTCTTCCTTTTTCTCCTTCTCGCTGTCATATCCTTGTTCTTCTTCATCATAATCCCTTGTGACCTGCTTTGCCGAGATAAAAAAAAAAGGTAAAACTTGCTTTCAAAGCCCCTGTTGGTTTAAGGTTAATACTACAGTACAGGCAGTGAAGTTAAACAGGTTTTTAAACATACTTTCACATCTTTATCACTCTCGGATTTTCGTTCTCGATCCTTCTCTTTGTCTTTGCTTTTTTTTTTCTTGCTTGTTGACCGCTCCCTCTCATCTCTGCTTCTCTCCTTGTCTTTATCCTTCTTTTTTTCCTTTTTATGTCTACAATGATAAAGCATGTAGAAGAATGAAAACCACAATCACACCATTCCATAACTAGAACACAGACCATGTCCAGACTGTTACCCATAGTTCATTACAAATATAAAGGGAGAAATAACAGAAAATAACCAAACGTCCCAATTTCTTGGCTCTGGATGAAACACAACCACTACAAAGTGAAGTCTAAGAAACGCCATGTTAAGAATAGCAACACTATAGCGTTTTATGAAGGAGCACCTCAAGTTCCCTGTTTAGGGAGAGAGAAGCACAAGATGCCCATGCCCACCCAAAAGTCAGTTGACTGCTATTGTACAGAGCCAAATGGGCCAGGAACTCTGGGTATCTCCTACTCCTCACCCCTGGAATACCTCACATTTGGAGTTCTTGGGCACTAACAGAGAAGCCCTATGCTTGAAGCCGATTAAATTGTGGTATTTTATTATTAAATATGTGGTATTATTAAATTAAGTGGTAGCAGGCAGCAGAGATCCACTCACTCTCTCAAGAAGTCAACCTATGGGCTAGGCATAAGGAACAAGCCAAACACACATCATCTTCAAAGTAACCCCACTGTGATCTTTGCTATAGTTCACATCTTGGGAATTTTCCACCCATACACCATTGTTTTTTTTTTAGCCAAGAGGCTTACTGACCTTCTTGGAGATGGGGACCGGGACATTTTCCTTTTAGGAGACCTGGGTTTTTTAGGTGACCGTGTTCCACTCCTGCTTCTTCTACGTCGTCTTTCTCTGCAGGAAAGAGAGATCAAAGCTTTTTTGGTTTTTTTTAAAGCTACAAATACATCTCTGACTCCCAAACCACCACTGCTCAGAAGGTAGTAAATACATATAACTCAAAACGGATATTTACTATTAGCGGTACTGCAAAGCCCACAGTTACTGATCAGCAGAGTAAGTTGTTTCCTGTTCTACCTCCACCTTCATGAACAAACTGCTAGCTCAGGCTGTATTAGGGATACTGACTCTTTTTGCAAATAGAAACAGAACAGTTTTTTCTTGTTAATACTGCAAGTTAATTTTGGAAGATTTTTAAAAAAGAATGGCATGCATTTTGCATGTATTTATTCCATAAATCAGGAAAGAGTTTAACAGTGACCTCAAAAGCATCATACTCTGTTTTATATAGAGCAAGCAGAAACTATTCTAAGCCCAAACAGTATCTCCAGAAAATTACAGTATCAGGGGAAAAAAAAAGGCATCTTGTAGACATAGGTAGAGAGAGTACATAGGCAGTTGCGCATATAGCCAATACATCCACAATAGAATCATCATCCTGTTACATACAAGAACGTTCTTTCTATTGAAGTGGATAAAGCATGCTGGAAATAGAGACCAAGAAAAATGTTCATGTTACTGTACCTGCTTGTGCTTCTTGATCGTCTAGTTGTGCTGTAGCTTTTGGGGGGAGTTTTAGAACGTTTCTTTTCTTTCTCTTCCTTCTTTTTATCCCTTTCAGCAAAATACAGATTTTAAGTTTAGTTTAAGTCATTTTCAAACTACTCAAGTAGCATTCACTACTTTTGCTATGTAGGAAAATAAATGAAGACATAACAAATACACTGGATAGCGTACAGTGTTTAGTATTTCTGGGGACAGTCACATTATATTAACAGAAACAAAGATTACAATTATCTACAGCAAAATAAAAGAACAGCTCTTTTCTAGCTTCTGTGTGCAAACAGCACAAAATCTGCAAGTCTAGATGCTCACATTTCCTGCTTTCCAAAGACAGCTGCTGAGCGATTCAGCCAATGCCTGCTGCATCTGTTGACTCTTAGGAAGTTACATCTTTTTATGTAACTAACTGTGCACATGTACAGGGCAAGTGTAATATAATTCTATAGATGTTACAAGAGACTGACTTTAAAAAGAGCCACTAGTTCATTTTGCTCTAGTTTTTTTGTTTGTTTGTGGGTTTTGAGTTGGTTTTTTTTTTTTTTTTTTTTTAAATTAAGTACCAAAATTTAATAATTTAATTTCTAGCAAATAGAATAGATTTACTGAAGCGATTACCTGGTTTTGGATGTGCTCCTAGACCTTCTGCTTCTCTCTCTGGAATGAGATCTTCTTCGCCTTGGACTTTTAGATCGCCTCCTGCTTCTTGATTTTGAATGGGACCTTCTCCTTGATCTGCTTCTTGACCGTCTACCAGTAACACAGTGTGTACATCGCAGTTAAATATATGAAATTTTTATATATTATTCAGAATCCATCTGCTCAGTGCTAACAGAATTGTAATGCCTTCTCTCCATCGTGGTCCCTCCTGGGGCACAATTGCTCAGAGAAGGCTTCTAGTACTTTGTTTTCAGACAAATTGTAATTACTACATGAGCACACTAGAAAGAGACTGAAGAAAGTACAGAGGTTTACGGACTACTGTAAAATGGAGAGCCTACAATGGCTTAGGTGTTCATAGTAGTGATGTCTGTGTAGAACCAAGGCTCTGTGCTAAGGTGTTTCTTATCTGATACTACAAACAATTTACTGTTAAACAAAATCAGAGTCCAAACACTGCTATGACTAGGTGTCCTGAAGTTCCTTCTGCAGTAGTGTAAGGTATTTTTGAGGTATTTTTTGCTATCATCTCTCTCCCACCCTTTCTACAAAAAGAGGTAGGCCTCCATCTCACACTACAGTCTAGCGAAATCACAGCCTCAGCTTTCATCAGACCATTTGAATTCTTCCATCTGTCAGTCTCCACGAGTGAAAAGTCACTTCCCAGAAGTATTTTTGAAGGAATTGTTTCAGCTATGTGTTGTTTTGGTTTTTGTTTTCTTTTTTAAAGCAAATAAGCTAACTACCTGTGTCTAGATGAAGAAGGTGTCCTCCTCCTCCTTGAGCGTGACCTTGACCTTGAATGCCTTCGTTTTTCATCTTTTTTGTCTGGATTTAAAAAGGAAAAGCATAGTAAAAACCCTGATGTTATTTTAGTATTCAAAAAGGTTTTATAAAGGAAAGGAAGTTGAGCTTCACACTATAGATATAAGTACGATAAAGAAAACCTAAGGAATACTTTGACATTTGAAATTAAGGCTTATCTATCCTTTTCCTCAAAAGATGACACAAAGAATGAACACATGACAAAGACATGTATGTGACATAAAACCAACATAAGGTTTTATGCAAAACTGAAGAAGTCAAAATTCAAAAAAATGTTTCATTTAAGTCAGTTAAAAGATGATAACTGCAGGGCAATGGAAAACATCTTGTTAAAAACTCAGAATCCCTGCCACTTTGTGAAGGGCTAAAGAACCTCTCGAATTATTGTTTTGAATTTCCCACAAAAAGCCTCAAGCAAAACAATCAGCACATTTTTCTGGTATAATAAAAGAACAGGAGCTCTATTCTTTCCTGAAAATGATCAGGAGGCTGCAAAACGGTATTTTCAGTGTTCCAAGTTACTGCTTCTCAGATTTGGTGGGTCTGACATTTGTGGATGAACTGCTGCATCTTGTTCTAAAATAAAATCTACTGAAATAAGCTACAAAAAAAAGAATTATTTATAAACTTCCACAGATTAGGAAATAAAAGAAAGGAAATCATCCCCAAGACATCACTAGGATGTCAAGTGGTTAAGCCACTTGCTGTTTCCAATGAAATCTCAGAGATGGCAGTACGAACTTCAATCAGGGGAAGCTCAAACATTTTGCAATCTTCAAATCAAGTGAATTTTAGGAAAAACAAGAGATTATTAACTCCCTGCATCATTCTGCAGCACACTTGCAGCATTCACACTGTATGACAATTAAAAACATGTCAACTATAAATTAAGTCACTATAGAACTTGAAAGCATTATGCCAATATTTTGCAGACCGTTAGTTTTTATCATATACTACATCAAAACTCCATCTTGAATTGAATACGGTATTCTACGATTTAAAATTACCTGGCTCTATAGCAGCAGAAATTAATGACTGTGCTTCTCGTACTCTTTTCATAGCTTCTTCTATTTCTTTACTGGAGGTATCTGATTTCAGACTTGGTGAAACAAGACCTGCAGCTACATGGTTCAACCTGGTAAACAAAATTTTAGAAATTCAGTATTGATGAATCCAAGAAATACATGCCTCCATTGTCAGTTTGCAGCCTATTCAAAGTGACTGATCTGAGTGAATCAGAATCTGCCTGCGTTTTGTCACCATTCAGACAACAGAGTAGTAAGTCTAAGATTGTGCTGAAAACACTAGCACATATGGCTTAGAATTCCAGTAAGCTTTAAATAGCAGGAAAGTTTGTATTGTCTTGCACAGGTATGTTTCTAATGACACTTTTCAGAACATTTTTGTACAACACAATTTCAATTCTCATCACCTAGAAGAGCAACTCCACAGAAAACAGTATATTACACAGTAGAAAGTCAGTTTCCATTTTTATAAGCCACACTGAGAAGCTTACAGTGATGAAATTTAAAGTTCAGAAGATGTGTTCTACAAGGTGGCTTTGAAGCCAACCAGGTATACCCAATATACCTGACTGATATTTATCTAATCCATTATCTTGGGTAACTACTTTGTTCAATCACTTATGCACTCCCTGCTTACAGAAATGTCAATTTAAAATAGAGAATAATATGCCAGAACAGTACTAAAACCAAAGACAGATCACATACATAGCTTTATCCCCTGGTATAGATTAGATGGCTCTGACAATTTAAAAACAGTGGAACAGCCAAACAGAGATAGAAGTCAATTTAGCTAATATAGCAGCAGGGCAAGCACATATTGATATGCTTTCCCAAAGCTGAGAGTTGGAAGAATTCTCTCCAAAGCTTCTTGCAATTTGCAGTACAAGGGCTTTCTGAGGCAGATGTGGTTTCTTTGCATTTAGTACACTTTTCTTCTACTAATTTGTCTAACAGCTTTTTTTCCATGGCATGTGCTTTCATCATCCTATTGCAATGTTATCAGTAGCTTAACGGCACACATACATTAAGTGCTACAATCCTTCCCTACTTGCTGTCCCCATGTCATACTATTTTGAACAAAACTATTCTTTTTCTGAATACTGAAATAAAAATTAGTAAATACCTGTGCTTACTGTTATTTGCACCCTTTGTCTACCAAGTAGTAAGACAAGCTGTCTTTTGTTATCTTCTGACAGCTGTAACATACATAGACTCTTTTATTATTGCGTTTTACAACAGTTGCTAGTCTCGGCTCATTCTCAACCATAGCCCTTTCATTTCAACCTTGCAGGATGTAAGGTGCTAGCTGCACCTTTACATTATGGACACAGAAGTGACAAAAATGACAAACGAAAAGATGAATTTCTGTCTCTAGCAAAATGAAATCCCAGAGATTAATTGGTGTTATTTCGTAGATGCAGGGTTGAATAATCTTCATCTCCTCCCTCTACCACAGAAAATAGAGTCTGCACAAGATCCCCAAGACACTAGTTTTCTCCGACCTTAATTAGATCCAGCAGGACAAAGATTGGATACTGAATCACAGCAGATATTCCCAAGATCAAGTGTATTGCAATACAAATATTTGTGAACACTGATGCTTACTTTGGATCCACTGTGCTCATAAGCTTTAGTAGTTGATCTGCTGCAAGAGACTGTGAGAAGAAGTAGTTAAAATCATGTTGGAAGATGCATATGCTTAAGAAGATTATCTTTTTTGAATGTACCCTCAGCAGTGGCTAAAGCTAAAAGTCTCTACAGATAAAAAAAACAAAACAAAACACACCCCAAACAAGTTACAGACAAAAAGGCATGTTGTTCTGTTTTAAAACTTGTGGATGCTGGCGAGTGTGCGACCATCACATTTCAGTGGTGCTTTGGTACTTTTTTTTCCACAGCAGCCAAACATAGGCCCTTTCCCTGGACAGAATCGAAGTACTTCAAAATAAAAATACACTTCTGGTATTTACAACTTATTTCTCCGTTACTTCAAGAGTATAGAGACCTCTTCAGAGAACTAAGTTGCCTGTCCATGGGAAGTCCTCAATGTCAATTTATGAACAATAAGCAAAAGCTTCTTTACTCTAAAAATTCCACGAAAAAATATATTTTACAGCTCTTAGGAAAATCCAGATACTGTTACAATCGGTCACTTCCTGTACCAGTGGTGTATTAACAACAAAATGTTTAGTCCCCGCTAATTTTCTTTATACAGAGGCAGCCATGTGCTGAACCCAAACAGTTTGTTACAATCAGATGGCTTAACGGACAAAGGAAACAATCCTTCACCATACCAAATTTGTAGTTTTCTAGTATGTATTTAGAATGTTTTTTTTTTTTGATTCATTATTTCATTATCACCATTATATGCTTGTTAATACCCGTGGCATGCATAAAGAGAATGCTAAATGATGGATTCCTTAGCAATGCATTAAATTATTACTACTTCTTGTACCTGTAAAACGTGTTCTCTGTACAGTATTTGGTTCTTATATCTTAAATATTAACTCAGTATTCTACTCACTATTACTTAGGACTTAAAGTCTTTTTTTTTTAAATTCAGTTTTAAAAAGACTACAGTCAACCAACGTCTCCTTAGTATTTTTTACACCTACAAAACTAAAAAGTCAAACAATTTTTTTTTTACTGTAAGTACAAGACAGGTTCATAGCTTGATAATGACACATACTTGAAATACTTCATTACTAGTGCCAAATTAGTTCTGGGGTGCTTCCGGCATTTAATTTGATACTCCTACAGGTACTATTTATTCCAAACAGGTGCTCAGAAAAAGCAATCACTGGATTTTTCAAACAGTGGGTGTTAAACTGATATAAATGAAAATTACTTTTAAAACAGAAAAGAGGGTAGCAAAAGAAAAGTGTTTGTATATAAACCTGCTATGCCAAGAAACAAAGACTGCCTTCTATAACAATTCTAAATTTAAAGAACCAGCAGCCTGTGCAGACTACATTAAGCCAAGCCTTTAATAAAAAGTAATATTTTGTAACACTTCTTCAAACTTAAGTATAGTATTTCCAGATCTTCAGCTTGTTATTTAATATACCAGTGAACACTAAGAGCATCACATATGCTAGTCAAACTACATATGTACTAGGAACAATAAAGAAAATTTTAGAACGTGTGACATACCTGAGAGTTTAAGTTTGCTCCAGGAAGCCCAAGAGCAGCTAGGGCAGGATCAAGAGCAGGAGCTCCTAAAGCAGCTAAAGGAACAGCACCAATCTGTAACAAAGACAGCAATTAGACAAAGCCATATTCAATTGATAAAAAGCTCTTAGATAAAGATTCCCAAGCATTAGACATGTGGAAACTTGAACTGGGTTTTACACTTCTAGCTACAGGAAACGTTATACTAAGGTCAGTGAGACTATTTCAGTTTTCCTTATTCAGGTATTCCAAAGCTTACTATATATATATAAAAAAAAAATTCCTATAAGTATTCTAAAACGAAATTCT